CTTTTATACATTTGTATTTCATGAAGATTTAACGGCCGCTTGCGCTTTCACAAGTATTATATTATTTAACACATTAAAACAGCCATTACAAAACTTTCCGAATTTGATGGTCGAACTTGTGGGACTTAGTATATCAGTAAGACGTGTAGAAAAGTTTTTAAATGAGATTGATATTCAAAAAGACACTTCAGTTTCCAGTTCATACACCAAACCTGTAGTTGGTTTTAGTGGTGTTGATATTTCTTGGAGTCATGATACGAATATCCGGGATCCCAATGATTTCTCACTGAGGGATATGAATGTAGATTTTCCAATTGGAAAATTAAGTATTGTTTGTATGTATGAACATTTCATGGTTTCCGCATCGAACTTTTGCTTTACCAATTATTCGATAATAACAATAACTACGTTAATAAGATGGCCCAAAATCTTCTGGGAAAACACTTCTTTTTCTCTCGCTTCTTCGTGAAACATTCTTATTACGTGGTGTTATTAATTTTCCCTCAAATTCAGTCGCTTATGTTCCGCAACAAGCATGGTTAGAAAATACAACTATTCGAGATAATATATTATTTGGTTCCAATTTTGTAGAAGAACGTTATTGGAATATCGTTGACGCTTGTTGTTTACTTAAGGATTTTGAAAATATGGATGAAGCAGATTTTACTAAGGTATGACTCTTTGTTCATATATAAAAGTATTATTTATTATAATTATTAACTTTGCGTGTTAAAGTGTGACGAAAAAGATCTAATATTAAAAGATGACCAAAAGGCTCGTATAGCACTCGCGAGAGCGTTATATAGTTCCGCACAAATATTGCTTTTGGATGATTTTTTGTCAACTATGGATTCATCAATAGGTTTTTATGCACACTTATATTGCCATTATCATTAATGACATATTATACATTCAAATGACTGATATTAATCCATTTTATTTAAGCACATCAAATTATTGAGAATTGCTTAAAAAGTCCAATTATTGAAGAACGGACTGTGATAATTGCAACAAACTATGTTCGTCCCCTTTTAGACGTTGCTAGTTATATTGCAATACTTGATGAGGGAACTGTTAAATCAAAAGGTACTCCTGAACAAATACGTGGTCTTTTAAATGAAGGAATTCTTGGAAACGACGTAGATATAGAGAAAAGTCAAGATAAAAAATTTCGAAACTCGATAAATAAAACTTTTGAAAAATATATCACTGATAAGAAAATTTGGGCAGCAGAAGAAGGTTTATACTTTTTCATTGATAAAATTTTGTATTTATATTATTTATATGCAAAAGAGATTTATTTTTCCCACAAATTATGTAGCACAACCTCAAGGAAAGATCCCATTCAAAGTTTATCTTTTCTACTTTAAGTCTAGTGGGGGCCTGTTAATTTGGTTTATACTAGTTTTTTTGTTCATAATCATTCGAGTTTTAACTGTGGGCGAGACTTATTGGTTAAATATATGGTCAGAAGCTCCTAATAAAAATAAAACATCACCCGAACTATTAGAAAATACTA